AAATAATATAAAATTTACATAAAAATAACTTCGGAAAATACTTAATAACTAAAAACTAATGAAAGAAACACAAAAAACAAGAAATTTTTTTTTCAGAAGAAATGAAGAAAATTGAACAGAAATAAATTCTTTTAAATTTATTTTCAACATCAATTAGCTAACTCAGTTGAGCAAAGCTAATTATTCAAAACCAAGTTCTTAATTTGACTCTTGAACGTAAACAGTGAATTTCCAGAATTAAAGATTTCGATGTATTTGTTATGTTCTAATTAGGTATGTTATACGAGTAAGTGAATGAATACAATAGTATGTTCTTATATTATTATTTTTATTCTATGTAATTAAAGCAGGAAGTTTCATTTTTATATCAGAATTAGATGACACTTTTATGACTAAATGACACAGGTAAAAGTTTTACTTCGCAGACATGGAGTTAAAAACACTGTTTTTACGCCTAGGCGTTTTCACTTTTACTTGACACTTACTTTGACAAATTTCCACTGTTGTTTCTTTCTTGTCTCTTTCGTTTTCTCAGCATTTTCTGGAGAGGTACAAGGTAAATTATCAGCATTCGACATTTTGCACTATAAACTACACCACGTATTCACCAGTTAAATCAGTCAACACTTCCAAAATCTCAACATAAATTCCGAAACTGATGCGTGACGTTTGTTATGATTTTATTGGAAAACGTCCTGTTTATTGAGGAGATTTACTTGATTATTGGTGTGTTCCTTTTTTCTCCCCATCTGAATCGTTTGCGGATAAAATAGTATATGTTATTTAGAGTAAAAGTGAGTTTATGTGGCTCAGCTGAATCCATTTGCCTCAATCCGTCCGGCAAAATGAACGTTTATCTTCGCCACATAAACAATCACTTTTACTCCTAATAACATAATCTACTATTTTTTTGTATTAAGAATATAGCGATCTTCTTCAAATAAAATGGTATTTTACAGCTTGTCATAGACAAAAATTACGTATGTATACCTACGTAGATATTCCTTTATTAAAATTTGGTTAGAATTTTTTAACAAATTTTTTAAAATAAAAAAATGCAAAATATGTTATAAGCTGATTTTCTTTTACAGGATAGCATTTACAGAAAGTGCATTTGTTTATAACACTTTTTGTACAAAAGGTTTCTAAATGTTTTAACGTCCTTTGTATTATATAAATAGAAGATTAGATATGCTTATCTAAATTAAAATTGTTTTAGTAGGAGATTTTTATTTTTTTATTTTTTGGTATTTACAGACTTTCAATGTGACTAAAGGGAAAACAAAAGATTCATTTGCTTTAAAGGGAAATAGAAAATAGTCTTACATATTATTGATTATCCAAAGCATTAACTACTCGCAAAGGAGAAAGTCGTTGGTGACATCCTTTACTATTAGTTACAAATCTAAATGTCTTTTCTTATAGTATACAGGATGATTCAAATGTTTCAGGTCATCTCTTGGATGATAGGACATCCACGACAAAAAAAATTAAAGTTGGAACTTTAGGTTGAAAAAATCACCAATTTGTGTCTTATGGTGTACAAAACATTTAACAAACTAGCAAATTCAACAATAAATTAAATGTAAAAACATCGGAAACAAAGGAAATAAAGAAATAAGGTGCCTTCATGATAATATTCAAATTGTCAGTTTTTTATTCTCAGAAGCCTGAAAAAAATATGCCTCATTTTTATGCTTAGCTGAAAGTCTTCTATCAGCATACAAGACTTGATCTCACATTTTTGAATTATCTTGTGTAAAAGTAAAAAAATGTTGACAAAATAAACTAATAATGAATTATTTTTTGTATTTGAAAAACCTTTTTCTATTTTGCATTTTTAAGGACGATTCCATTGCAAGTAAATTGCTTTCTAAATATTTTTACTAATTTACCGAATTTTTGGTGGTGTACAATAAATGTCAAAAATTCGTATAATGACAAATTTCAAGTCAAATTTAGCTTTCCAACGCCTTCATGAATAATATTATAGAAATATGGGTCATTATCATTACATTATTATAGAGTATGATGAAAAAAGGCGCCCGTGTTAACCCACACGTTATAAGTAACATTAGATTTATGCTCTTAATCACTTAAACAGTTTGATGAAAATACATTATGTGCAATTGATTGATTTAGTAATTGGTACTACAAATTGGTTCTTGATACTTGTAATAACATATTTGAAACTAAGGCCACATATTTCTTTACTTTTTGAATGACTTGTTTTATTAAAACAATCTCTTACCTGATCAAATGTTGTGCATTCTTATTATGGTTATAGTATATGACATAACGAGCACGGAAAGTAATAAATAACGCACTAGCGGGAAAGTTGCGCACGAGGCGTTAGCCGAGTGCAGGCAATACCGCGAGTGCGTTAGACACTTTCCTGCAAGTTTTGTACACTATTTTTCCTACGACCATAAATATTTTTTTTCTTACGAACACATTTTTTTTTCATAACGATTTATTTTTTATAATGGATACAACAATACGTTGAATAACGATTTATTTTTTATAATGGATACAAAAAAAAAATACGTTAAATAAAATACAAAACATTCGAGTGTGAATTGTGCGTTAGATTTCTAACACACAGTGCGAAAACAAATCGCATAGGTTTTCGATCTCGTACGATATTGCCAATTTTCGCGCATATGTAATTGTGCGTTATGATCTAGTTTCGTATATGGTCGTAGGAAAACTAATTTTTTTGTCGGATATGGGAGTTAGAAGAGAGCGCTAGGGATTCAATTAATTTTTCAGCGGTGTCAACAAAAAAAATTGTTCAACTCATACGCTGTCGATTGCAAAATTTTTGGTTGTAACTTAGGCCTTATTGGCTTTAGGACTGTATGGTTTGTTGCAAAAAAGTGTATTTCAGATGAGAGTTCAAGAACCTATAAAAGATTTTTGGTATTAGTCCCTTGTTTCACAAGCTACATCACTTCTCCATGAGCATGTTTAGATCTTGCAAAGTAAGAAACGAAAGAAAAGTCATTGAGATACACTTTACCTATAAAACTATACCTAGCCTAAGTTTGAATTTATTCAAATGGGCAACACAAGTAAACTGTTAAAAAATAGATATTTTTGTGTATTGGTGATTTAAGAATACAAAAAACTTGTCTCTTTTTTCTTTAGTTCAAATTGTAAAAATCTGTCAAATATTTATAAAGTAAGTAAAAAAAAGCCTCCCGTCTCTGCAAGGTCTACATGATGCGTTGTCATAGCTACATCATAATCGGCTTAGAACGTTAGCGATGATAGCGGTAAGCTGTTTAATGAGAGGAAGACGGACTTATGTACGAAAAAGGGGAAAGGAAGAAGAGCACACAAACCTCGTTGCTATGATAACTCCAAAGGGCTTTTTGTAAAGAACTCCGTCGAGGGAATAGATTTTTATACGGTTTGCAAATCCTCCCTAAACGATTCGATGTTTATTTTATTTACTCTGAGAGAATAAAACTAGTACGAAGACAAGCAATAATTTCAGTACGATTTTTCGACGATTGGCTGTCAGAACTCGACTTTAATTAATTGCCGGTTATTAAATCGGATGTGTCAGAAATAAATAGGGCTTGTGTGTAATGTACACGTCTCAATTGAGGAAATCAGATTCCAAACAGAAGTCTACAACGCCGGTAAACCATTGTGTCCATTTAAATGTAAATGAGGACTATCATAGTCATTCATCTTCCCCTTTCCCTTTGATTAAATATAGTGTAAGCGCAGGCGGCCGGCCCCAGGCCCTAAGCCACCCCGTGGGGGATAGATACACCCACCATTAAAATTATCAAGCGGATGGAGATATTATTATTATTATTATTGGGGCAATTGCCGAAACGCATTTTCCGCAAAGAAAAAGAAGGGGAAACATACAGGGTGTTTGAGGATTGCGAGCAAATATTTTAACCACTAATAGGACTCGTCAAAAGAAAGAACTTTCGTTATTCCAACTTTTGTCGAAAGCACATCATTTCTGAGTTAAAATTAAAAATAAATTGAGACTGAAAACCCGTCCCCGTCTATGTCTTAATACGATGTTTACAATCATTCACAAGAAAAAACTTTGGAACGTAAACAGCGTAAAGACAAAAAAATTATCGCTACATTAGGCTAGATCAGTGTCAATGTTACTGGGTCAATACTTGCTATTATAAAAAATTGCTCGAAATGTGGTCATTCGTTGGCAATTCACACTTCTTGTACTCTTCGGGCTAGAGAAGCTTGCGTTCGCACACACAGTCCTTCGAAGGTATAAATTTGAGCTGCGTACACTAATTCACTAATTGTATAATGTGAACCCCCAAAAAAACACAAGTATTTAAATCTGGTGAACGCGGTGATCATTGGCGACCAATCCATCTCTAGGGAAAATGATTGTTCAATCCATTGGTGATGATTTTGGCATAATCTGATGGAGCTCCAGATCGGACAACACATTTTCCAAAAAATCCAGATAAACGGCACTAGTTAAACGTTGAGGTAATATGTGATCTTCAATCGTCGCTACCCAAACATTTAGTGAAAATCGGTCTTGGAAGTGATGTAGTTAATTTGGCGTTTGAGAGTTGGCCATAATGACTTGATTGACAATTTGATTTCAAATCGATGTGCACAATTTACCCGAAAGTGCATTAACGACTAACTAAACTGACACGTGTTAACAGGTGATAATTTTTTTAGACAAAAAGTTTCCTTTTTTCTGTATAAAAACTTTCACGGTCAACATTCAATGCAATTTATTTTCATTATTTTTACTTCCAACTAACAAGGACAGACACACTGAACGGCTCGTGAAAATCATAGGGGGAAAATTGCAAAAATAAAATTTGGATACGGAATTTGTTTAGTCTTCAATTTGACTTTTCATAACAAATTGTCTTAGTGGTTAAAATATTTGCTCGCAATCCACAAAAACCCTGTATACTGCCAAAAAAAATTTTTTAGGTTGGGCACACTATAAAGGGTGTCAGAATTCGCGCGCCAGAGAAAAATTTTAAGTAAGTATCTGTTAAAGAATTTTGACTTTTATGTCATTTGACATTTTTTTATGTCTGATACTGATGATCTTGTATATGTTTTTTTTATAATTATTTAGTAAAGCTATAAAAATTTTACCAATAAAAGCCACAAATAGTTAACAGTTAAAATTTAGGATACAGTTTCCTTGTTTCCTCGTCTAATACCCTGTAGCAAAAAAACTTGGAAAGTTATTTTTCCAACAGAAATAAATAGTCAAAGTTCTAAATTTAAACTCTGAAAACTTCGAAATTTTTATAGATAGATTTTTTTATCATTTTTTTCATGTTCCTGGTATCTTGCCTTACTTTTTTTTCTAAGGCGCGAATTCTGGCGCACCCTGTATAAAATTTTCAAAAAAAAAACGTCAAACAGCCAATTTGAGAATCATACATCAAAATAATTTAGATGAATGCACGGAATTTTCTAATAGGCACATTTCTTAATTTTTTATATCTTTTTAATTTCTTCATTATGAAAGGGTATAGTTGCTCATCATACCATAGTTCTCTAAATGTTTGTTTATTTCTTAAATTTAATGTTTGACTGTTTGAGGACCAATTTCTGGAAACATAATTATTTAACGGTCAAATAAATTTAAACCTTAGTTAAATCATGGTAACACCAATCAAATTAACGCCACCTTAATCGTATCAGAAATGAGGCGTGAGTGTTGTAATGAAACTGCTGAGTTCAGAGAAAAATGTTCTTTTTCGGAAAGGTTGCTATTAACAAAATTCACTTGATTTTGTATCTTGACGGTATAAAACTGCAAAAATCACAATTGCCAATTTTTTTTGTATTTTCAAGAATCGATGTGTTTTTGTTCGTCGAGTTTTTGCTATATTGCGTGGGGGTGGCCGTCATTAAGTAAGATTAAATTCATGACGTAATAAATGATATTGAAAGTTTGAAACATCCCATACAATCATCCCACAACAGACTGGTAACTGATGACATGGCAACTTGGGAATATTGAGCTTCAAAGGGGGAAAATGCCCCGCAGTCACGGGGATAAACAGAGAAGGGAGTATCGTTGGGGTGTTCGGTGCCGAAAAAGGAGAGAACATGTATCAGGAGCGGCTGTAATTGTGATGAAGTCAGCTCAACATCTTTATTAACTGCTAAGTGAGTATACGACGTTACAAAGGATCTGATTCGGGTGGGAAGACCTTGCATTCACGGTTTTCCGGACGAAATTTCAGAAAACACTTTACTTTACGATTTATCTATAATTGGACGTTGGAAATGAATGTTTGGTTTCTTGCTAGGAAAATTTATCGGAGTGTGCCATATTGGAAAAACGTTAGGGAATTTAATAAAGTGTAAATTTTCTTTGACGATGGCTTTCATGTAGAAGTCAGACGAGAATTCAATGCGAATGAGAAGAGACAAGTAGATACGCTATTATTGACACAATTTAGTTTCTCATAAACGATATGATAACATTTAAAGACGTTTCTTTGCTATCAGTTTCACAATATAGGTACTAAAGCAGAGTTTTAGGATTATCGTTTGTTTGTCTTAAAAAAGTGCCTTAAAAATATTAGCAACCCAACACAATTTCTAAAATCTGCTTCACAGCACCTTCTGTCTTAATTTCTCAATTTTTTAAGAATTTTTGAAAATTTGGAAAGTCGGATACATTCATATTATTATTTCAATACTGAGTCAGAAAACATGAAACTAAAGAATCTACTTCTTTATTACGTCAACATAATACTTTATAAAAACAACGTTAACAGTATTTTAAAAAATCTTTAAATTCAAAACAATTTCAATTTCTTGAAACTTGCACTGTGGTGGTAATAAATTTGTCAAAAACGAAATACCGCTCACCTTCCTGCATAATTCTCCGGATACGGAATAATAATGCCTTCCGGACTGGGTCTTGGCGAGTTTCCAATCCAGAAAAACGCATCAGGTCCTGTTCCATCATACGAGAATCCCTTTATAAAAATCGTGCTTTCGTCCACGGCATAAACGGTTCCTTTTATTCCATGGGCGAACTCCTGTAAAGGTCCTATGAGCCGGCCGTAGTAAGGTTCAGGGTGTCTGCCACCTAATCCTGTAACGAAAAAAAAACATTTTTTGAACACCTTCACTTCACTTGTTTTTCGTCCATAACCGGCGTAACTGAATCAATTTGCCGGTTACAATGATCATTATTGCCGACACCCTCCGTACAACCCAATAAAAATCCATATAATATATTGAGTTAGAGACCTCGCAGTCTACTGATTCCCCCTTAGTCGCGATACGGGGGTGAGGTTTATAGCTTCGTGTTGTCACATTTTTGGCCGTTATTACTGACCGACTATTCTCGTTATCGGCAGATGGAAACGCTGATTGCAACTAATATAGTAATAAATAACTCACAAAAGGAATGTGTGATCGATTTTAAGTCAGTGGAAAAACTTAAAACAGTTGCTAGTAACGTAATTCAGTTCCAATGTAATGTTTTTTTTCTACTCCCACATCTAAAACACGGATTATTTGTATAATGTCCAGAAAGTCGCGCACCTTTCTGAAACAGTATCATCGGGCGATGCCCTAGACAACAAGAAAAAAATCTATCTATAAAAATTTCAAAGTTATGAGAGTTTGCACTTTGACTCTATTTATTTCTGTTGGAAAAATAATTTTCCAATTTTTTGCACACGTACTCCTAAATTTTTGCAAGAAATTGACAAGAATATAAATTATTTGAGAAAGTGGTTAAAAAAGTGCTAATTTTGAGACTAAAGCTGAAAATGAATTATAAACTGAGCTGTTTTTTGAAAACCATTTTCCAAAAATCATATTAGTTTTGAAATTTGGGAGTTGACGATATTTACTTTACAAAATTCCTCAAACATTGAGTTATCCAAAGCAAAAAAAAATAATTTACTTATTGCAAAGGGTTCAAGAGCTGTGATTTTTTAAATAGACACCTGCAAATAAAAATTTTGACAAAAAAATTGATATATGTCAAAAACTTTGGCAGATAAGTAACTATACTTTGCAAACTGATAGATTTTACTTTCTTGACATCTTGGTGAAAAAATCTATAACAAGAAAAGTACAAGAAACGCTATGTAAAATGCAATAATTTAAAACATGTTAGGTTCGTATCACGATACGTCCGGTTATTCCTACGCGGACAGTGTTTTGACAGAATTTTGCCACTTTTTTATTGTCATAGTTTTAAAATACGGAAAACTGTGCCATGGAGAATATCGTGAATGATGTTACCAACACATTCCACAACTACGCGGCAAATATTTTCATTACAATTTTTGGAGGTTAAGATACATCTACTAACATTCAAATTATTAACTTTTTAGGCCCCAGCGCCAAAACACAATAATCAAGCTGCTCATTAATACTTTTTTTCAAGGCATTTCCACTAAAATGTACTTTCCTACGAAAGGTACTACTTTCTGGGCGGAGGATGTCGTCAACCTCTTTTTACTCTCTTTCATATTAATGTGCATCAAGTAGGTTGTAGAAGTCTACATGCTTCTTTAAATTAGAGGCCGATTCACACAAAAAGTGTCATTAATGTCATTCAGAACAAATTTAATCACATCAATAATGACAAAAATCTTTATGTTTTCCGCCATATTAGATATGTTGTAAATTTTAATTATTTTTGCTACCTCAAAGACTGGGGTACATACACATTTATTTGAGAAAATAATTTTTAGGGAAGATTGAGGTTGGGATTGGTTGAATTTTCGCATGGTTGCCACCTTAAAATGCTCACTTTCAACTACTACTTCGATGCACATTAATATGAAAGCGATTATAGTTACTTTTCTGTCACTATTCTATTATTATCTAGACTATACCAACAACTTGAATACGTTTGACTTAAGGTACTAGATACTGTCATAGGCTGTCTATGACAGCATCTAGGTGCCTCGGTTTGAAAAAGCAACTTCAAAAATGCAATAAAAATCCATTTAAGATTTCAAAGTTGCCATTTTGAAAATAATTTAGTTCAGTTGAGAATGGTCAATTTGGTTACATATAAAATTTCAAACTATTGAAAGTTGAAAAGTTTCTAATATAGGCTCTACAAACATCACCCCGTATTAACAATCTTTAATACCCGTTTGTATCGTTCACGTTTGTACTTGTGCATCATTTTCTATTGGGTAGCAAAATTTGTATTTTCAGAAATACGCACAACGCAGTGCTTTGCCATATAACTTCCGCAAATACAGCGTCTTTCATCGACAGCCATAACTCGAAAATCTCGAAATCCACGCATTGTAAACGGTTTCTATGAATATCACCGGATTTCCCCTGTAAAAACGTTAAAAGCCTTCATGTCTGCTTCTATTTGACCGGGTGTCTACTCTGCTGTCTATTATTCCCTCAATTGACGTCTCTACGTCATGTACTCGAATACATTTCATCCTGAGAACGCTCAAGACACTCTTAACCTTACATTGAAAACATCTCAAGAGAAAAAATCTATACTAAAAAATAAAAGTAAAGTTATCCCGACGTATATTACTCTCTGCACTCGAATCGAACTGCTGTAATCAAGTAGTTCATGTGCGAATGCGATAAGAATTCGGTAAAGGATCGATAGTGATGGTTTCAGGACTATAGCATGCTCGCTGTTAATCTCGTAATGTGTGCTCTAGTCCACCCTGGACTCCTCCGTCTCAAACAATCACCCTCACAAATTGCTCTCTAATCCCGCATTTAGCCGCACTACCATACAACAATTTATTGGCGCACCAGCAACAGGCAGCGAGAAATTCACCCGGCGCATCCGCCAAACTACTTCAGAAATGACCGATAATTACGCCGGGATAGAAAAACGCCCCAAATAATATTTGTGGTGCAGATTTGAACGTTATTGCGTTTGCTACAATTTGGGATTTAGAGGATGGCTGGTGATTCGGAAATGCATAAATAGGGATTTGGCATTTGTTTTCGCTATATAAAAGTCCTCTTTTAAAACAGAGATGAATAAATTTTACAGAAAATACTTAATCAGTGTATTATAATTCAAGTTTGTGCAATTTACGAAAATTAAAATTGCTTTCCGCCGATACTAAACAAGTAGCTACGATCAATACTTTCGGAATTCGGGCAGATTTAAAATTTAAAATTAATAATATAGGATGGGCTTTTTGCTGGTTTATCAGAGATAAATGGCGCCATAATTTGAAATTTGTTGTCATCGTTTCTTAGTAATTCCTAAACGGAAGAAACTACAAATTTTGCAAGCACATTTTGAGTAAACAAAATTTAAGTATTGAATTAGTTAGTTACAAAAAAACTTCGAATTTAACCAGTGGCGTAACACAAAAAAAACTTTTGAACAAAAGGATGTGTGACTCCTTAAAAAAATTTCACTCCATATACCAATTACGCCGAAATTGGTAGAAAATAAAAATCATCACTCATCCAGTGTGCTTGCAAAATTTGGAGCTCATACATTAGGAGAAAAAATGAGAACAAATTTCAAATTTTGGTGTCATTCATCTCTGGTAAGGAAGCATTATTGAATACCTAATAATTGTTTATAGAAAAACCCATAGGTATTATTTTCACATGTTCTAACTTTTCCTGAATTTCCGTCGAGAAAAACAGAACTACCTTATGGAAAAGTGTTCATCAAAACAGATGACTCAAAGCTTTAGTAAAGACATAGAAAGAAATATTTATTAATAATAAGAAGCAAGGCTTAAGTACGTAAGTTATCAAAAAAGATTAAGACTCAATATTTTTATTTCATTAGTCCTGTCAATTTTGCTCAATTTTGACGCACCATACAGTGTGTTCCGTCTAAACCCCACATTAGGAGGATTGGGAGTTGAAATAATAGTATTTATTTGAAAATTGGTACATAGCCATAAACCATTAAGTCCTCCTAAATGAAAATATTTTTAAGATGGCGGCGCTTCTGGTTATACCGGAAGTTGGTCTCAACTTTCTTATTTTAATGGAAAGGTATATTTTTTACAGTGTTTTTGGATCAATCGGGTTATTTTAAGGGCGTTTTCATTAGCCTTCCCTATATCTAAATTTAGTCGTTTTTGATATACTTGTATTTGGATTTTTTCAAAAATTTTTGGATCCGCACATTACACTTTAAAAATCGGTAACTCTGCCATTTTTTAGGATTTTGAATTCGTTTTTTGGCGTTTGAAAAAGAAAGCTTATATCCTTTTTCTGGTGTTTTCAAATTATGGAAAAAAACATATACCAAAATTTTAAGGTTACTTTTGTAATAATTCAAATACTCATCACTCAATTTTTTCAAATGAAATACCCCAATTTTTATTTTACTAAATAGAAGAGAATTTAATTGTGCATTGATCGGTATTAACATTTCCTATACCTAAATTTAATAATTTTCAAGTTATGGACTTTTTGTTAAGACTACAGAAAATTTATTACTAGCCACAGTCGTTTTCACATAGTTTGCTATGGAAATCAAAAATATCAAAATTTTCTCTAAACAAACGTCAACAGTAAATTACTATTTGACAAATAGTGCCAAAATATGAAAAATCAAAGTTATACAAACTTAATTATTATTGATAGGTTCTACCATGCGATCATTATTTAAAGCTAACAAGTGAGAAAAATTTATTTTTACTTAATGAACGACATCATAATTTTGTTACACTCTCCATAAATACAAAATAAATTAATTAAATCTAAGTTTGAGTAGCTTTGAGTCTCCATATTTTGGCACTATTTATCAAATAATAAGTCACTGTCGACGTTTATTGAGAAACAATTTTGATATTTTTGATTTCCATAGCAAACTATACGAAAACGGATGTAACTAGTAATAGATTTTCGGCAGTCTTAAAAGTCACCATAACTTAAAAATTATTAAATTTAGATATAGGGAATATTAATACAGATCGATGCAGAATTAAATTCTCTTCCATTTAGTAAAATAAAAATTGGGGTATTTCATTTGGAAAAATTGAGTTATGGGTAATTGAATTATTACAAAAGTAACCTTAAAATTTTATGGTTTGTTAATTTTTTTTTTAAATTTGAAAATACCGGAAAAAAATCTAAACTTTCTCTTTCAAACGCCAAAAAATGAATTCAAAATTTAAAAAAATAGCAGAGTTACCGATTTTTAAAGTGTAAGGTGGTGCAGATCCAAAAATTTTTGAAAAACTCCAAGTATTTCAAAAACGGCTAAATTTAGGTTTAAGGAAAGCTAATGAGAAAACTCCCTTAAAATAACCCGATTAATCCAAAAATGGAGTAAAACACATAGCTTTCCATTTAAAATAAGAAAGTTGAGACCAACTTCCGGTATAACCGCCATCTTGAAAATATTTTCATTTAGGAGGACTTAATGCATTATGGTTATGTATCAATTTTCAAACAAATATGATTATTTAAACTCCCAATACTTTTAGTGTGGAGTTTAGACGGAACACGCTGTATAATGGCCATATTGCAAATATGAATTAAAGGAACATTGAAAAACAATTATATTCCGATTTGCTGTTGCCATTGTGAATTAAATAACAAAGGTTAAATGTCCAGGTAAATCAAAGTAACCCGTTTGTTAACTGAAAGCTTGTTTTTAATTAGAATTTGGCGACGGTCGGTTTAAAATGTTTAATTTCTCCGACATGTTTGTTTAGCATACAATTTTCCGTCATAAAATAACAAGAGAGTGGCATGTTGTTCCCCCGTTCTTCTTTCAATGTAATCTGCATGAAAAGATTGACAGATAGCTTTGAAGTGCAAACAAGCTCCCTTACATCCCTCCCAAATCTCTGCGAAAAGCACAAAACGAAATAAGGAACTGTTTTATATCTTTTAAGTGTTTTATGGATGTAGAACGTCCGGAATGATCCTAGTTAAGTCCTGTAAAAATCTCGTTTCTTGGAAAGCAATAATTACACTAAAATGATTCAAGAAAAACGTCCACGCGACGAAGATAAATCATAATATCGGGATCGGTATTGATTGACGGAGGGGCATTTGGAGGCATTTCCGCAATTTCCCGAGTGCGTCGACAGGATTCGAAGTGTCAAGAGTCACAATAAACGACATAATCGAGTCTTGATATCTCGATTGGGATCAACAATGGCCGTGGCGATGCCATCACAGCGCAATTTCGCATCGCGACCTTTTCACAAACAATTATTTCCTTTGTGGATCGATTAGAAATCTGTGTATTGACGGAAAGTGAAAATGGAAACACTTTCGTGTACGAAAAGTCGCTTTTTGCTTTTAGAGGGTATGTGGAATTCTTCACAGTGAGTGGGTAAAAGCGTGACGGCGGCCGCCGCCGCCACCACCGTCACCGCCGAACGCTACAAACGATGGACGAATATGCCGCGGGGGATTCCGCACAATAGATGACGCATCGATCCAATGACGTATTCATTTGTCTTCTGCCTCATTGCGGCCCCCGTTCTACCACTACACTGTAGTCGAATCGCCTCGAGAATAGTCTTTATATCAAAAATATAACATTTATTTTTAAAAGATAAAATAAAATACTGACTACAAACCAATTTCCAGCACATTTATCAAAACCTTATCTCAACAAAGTATAATTAGTAACATTTATGTTAACACATCGAAAAATACAGGGTCGTTAAAAAGTATGGATACAGTTAAATATACAGGATGTTCTTATTGTTACAAATTTAAACAGGTGATAGAATATTCAATTTTAAAACAAAAGCTTCCTATGAACATGTATCAAAAAATGTTATGTAAGCGAGCTACACCCCCTGAAAGAGATGCGTTTTTTAATGAGATTTTCTCACTATTGCAAAATAGATAAAATTACAAATATTGGTACAGCTGAAGGCATTTAAAGATCAGTTGTCAAAATTTGTAATCACGGGCGTCTTAAACGGTAAAACGAATTTAATTTTTAATTTTTATCCGCTTTATGGTCTGTAACACAAATTGTAAACTGATTTTCAAAAACGATATGTTGTATCGAGACCTCTTTTTTGTGAAAAACTACAAAATTTAGAATTTTGTGGCTGAAAGTGGCAAGAACCAACTGCCAAAATAGTTAGGGTACTTTTATTCTAAACCCCCCAATTTAGGACACTGCTGAGTAAAAAAATTTGATATTTTATTTTTGAATTCGTTTGGGTGTATAGAGGTTTTCAGTTGTACCAAATTTTGTAATTTTATCTACAATGGTTTCTGAAATATTAGAAAAAAAATTATTAAAAGATGCACCCCTTTTAGGGGATGCAACTCCCTTATATAAAATTTTTCGATACATGTTCATAAGAAACTTTTTTCTTCAAATTAAATATTTTATCACCTGTTTAAATTTGTAACAATAAAAACGGAACGCCCTGTATATTATAAAAACTATTCAGCAAAACTTATTGAAATTTGGTATATGCTTAAAAGTATTTAAATTACATCACCTCATATGTTTATCAAACTTCTATCGCCATTTGTTCTGGGGATACAAGGCTAACTTGATTTTTTTTCATGTCAAGAAGGGTCAAATTTAATACTTTTAAGAAGAGCATTTTTTCCTGAGTTCTGTGATGTAACACATGCATACCTTATTGAACTAATTAAATTTTGAAAAATGTAAACTTTTTTAGCCTTGGAAATGTTGTTTTTATCTACCGTTAGCTCTTTACCGTCTGAACTTTCACCAAAAAATAGGTGAACTGTTTCTTAAGCTCTACTAAACCGTTCTGAAAATATTTATCTGTATCTATACTTTTTAGCGACCCTGTATATATTTTTTTATAGTACTTTTAGTAACTTCTTTCAAATTAAATTAATAAAAATAAGTCATAATGTAATTTTAAATCTTAAAAAGCAAATTAATTTAAAGTACGTTTTCCTCAATATTAAAGTTTCCCACTATTGTATACGTATTAGGTACACATTGTATACTGTAATGAAATTGGTAGAAAGTAAAGTATACGAATTTATTACCTGTGCCATAGCTAGCCATCGCCACTCTGTTACAACGTGTTACAAGAAGAACTCTAATGCCAAATCTTGAGTGGAGTTTCTTGACTCAAAATTTTTCAGTATGAACCCTACTTGTAACACAGATTTTTCTTTTACACAGAAATCAAATGTTTCTATTTCTAACCTCAACAGGAGTAGAACAGGTAGTACAATTGCGTACACGGAATTTTGGACGATTTGTCATTCAATTGGCATAAAAATGTAAAACGGGCCTTATAGGCAACTAATCTTTAGTTTTTGTAATTTTTATTCTGACATCTAGAGAAAAAATGACAATACATCAAAATAATTTATTGAATTCTATAAAAACAAGTGCTACTGGTATTTTTGTTTCCGAAAATCGACGCCAAAATTATATTTCAACTAAAACTTTCAAATTTTAGTTTTAAACGTCAATCAAAATGACAATAAAGAGTGACATTTTTTGAACTTAACTTTTAATGTGCAAAATTCCATGTCCGCAATTGTACATCTGATTTTTTTGTCAATTAACTTGTTCATGTTAAATTTACATTTTGCTAACAAGGGAAAGCATTTCATTAAAACTACAAAATTATCTTCTTATGGAAATGTTATCCCACACACATAAATGAAAATTGATTAATTTGTGGTAAATAAACCAAGTGGGAACAATGATTCTCCGTATTCAAATAATAGGTATTGAAATGAATTTTATAAATTTTTGCGTGTCACTTTTTTTTTAGATTAATACTTAGCATAGTTTACTCGAGTAACACCTTATTTTTTATTCCCAAATTTGTTATTTTTGCGATGAGGCTAGACGTAACCGCAATAACAAATTTCTCATGACCTCAACGCAACTTTCACACCGACCAGGGCACTGTCCTTAAGTGTTCTATATGATTTCGAGGTTACTCACCTGAATTTCGTAATAAATATTCGACACATTATTCATTCTACCAACAGGAAAAAGATAATCTTGCTAGATTGTGAACAATTTTAACAACCTTTTCTCCAAATATCTAATTTAAATAATGTACAGTGCTTATTTATTAGACCAGCAGTATTAGTTATAGTAGAGTACAAGGGGAATTGGTCCTAAATTTTCGCGATGTACAGGTTTGGCTTTCAGCCCCTTCTACTTCCATTAACTGATTAAAATAAAACATTTTGTTGGGATTAAAACCAGGGGGTTCTGTACCGGGGTTTTCTCCAAGGATGTAAGTGTCAACATATGTAATCGTATATCATTCAAAAAATCATTACTTTCCGATCATTCCAAATGAAGAGAAAAGAAAAGGTCGACAAGACGTTTGAGAGTAAAGATATAATACGAAGTGACAACGAAGAAGGAAAAATTACTCATTAGACATTTGATTTGTTTGGGTCAACCGCGAAGAAGAAGATAGTTCCACAAATTAACATTGTTAATCACAATTTAAATAAAAATCGGATATCTAATTAATTAAATTTTAATTATTTTATAATTGCATACTGGAGGTATGGCTCGGAATTGACCTCCCAAGAAATGCAAATAAATACACGTTCAACTTTCTCGTCTCACCTTGACATTGTATTCTTTTTGAATTTCTAGGTCAAAGACTTGCACAGATCTCGATTTAAATCAGTATTGATTAACAAAGTTGGGTCGCAAAGCCATTTCTTGATCCCCCGTTGATCAAAGAAATATTTTTTAATGTGAGAACACAGTGATTTATTCGTCTGTTAATTAAAATTTGCACATCTTGATTGTCTCGCTCAATTCAAAAACCCTCTGCGTATTCAGAATGTCGAGTTACACTCGAAATTGAGGCTCGTTACGTTTTATTAGTTCTCTTACTTTCATATAGCCCAAAGACAGGCTCCATCCCTTTTCAACAAGTTTTCAAGTTTGATTTGGCTTGGAGTGAAGTCTATATTAGTGTTTGCGAACGTTGTGGTTATATGTTGACTTTCAACTTGGAACTTGATATCGCCCTCTCGACCCCTACACGCCGTTTAGTCGCCTTCTCGATCAAACACAAAAATAAATTGACAAGTATTTGACTGTTTGCAAAATTCCAGTAAAGATTCTAAATTCTCCGTATCTAAGCCCAAAATGTTCATCTGCTGTCCAGAGAAAGAAGCTAAAAAGCGCTGCAACAAATTAGGCGACTTGAAACAACTCGTCGAAACTATCGAGGAAAAAATGCTGGTACCGTGTACCATAGTTTGTCCCATTTGCGGTCCCCCGTGCGCTATTACACTCCCATGTCCTGCTCCTGAAGAGGCCAAAGAATCTTTAGGACCCCCGGTGCCCCCTAATGTCATGGTTTGCTACAAATGCGAAAAGCACGAAAAGAAGAAGAATGGTAGAACTGTAAAAAAAACTAACGCTCCAAAAAGGACAAAAAGAGCGAAATCCAGGGAGTTAAGGGCTAGTATTCTTTACCAAGGATGTGATTGCGAAAAACGTAATGGACTTCAGGATGATTGTAGGAGGACTGGGTGTCATGGCTCGCCGGAATGTTTGACTAAACCGGAGCCGATTTGTGGCCCTAGTGAGTTCAGTAATGGCAAACATTTAGGGAAAAAATCCGGGGGTTATGTGAGTTCAAGTGGGGAAGCTGGTGATGGTGGTGATGAGGAAGGGAATGAGAAACTTAGCGTCTATTATAATTGTTATCCTGCAGCGATTAAGTGTTAAAAGTACTTCCGGTTTTTTCATGATGTAATTAAGTGGAAATAAGATTTTTTAAGCAAATGAGGCTCTTTTTATTATATTAATAATAATAAAAAAGTCTACAAAAATAATAATAATAAATGAAACAACCACAAAGAAATATTTCTTGAACCGGTGAAGTTTCTGGTAAATCAAAAAAATGAGGAAAGGCCATTTTAAATTCAAAATGAAAACTACCTAGCAATTCAATATAGTTTTTGAAAATAATATGTTATAATATGAAACAACCAACTCCAGGTATTAACTTTAAAAGTAACAATCATTTTTTTAATTATTTAATTTTAAACAAATTGAAATAGACAAACTACTGTGTACCTAGCATAGTTGATGCCTTGACGTAATTGCTTTGCAAACAAATGCGTTTTTGACATTTGATTGGCTCGTAACCTTGGAAATTCTACATATTTTTTTTCCCGACCAAGGGATGCAATGACATATTTCCCGACCTTCAAAAGGTTATAGAAATTAAATATGTATGTAAATATATTTTTATTTTATAATTATAATTATTGTAATGAAAAGTGATTTCATATACATACAAAACTGAATAACACTATCACAAGTTGTAATTTAAAATAAATAACACGCAAGTTTATTACCTTACACAAAATCGAAAAGTTTAAACTAACAAAAATTATAACGATTTCAAAAAAATATACTATTCATCTTTTACCTTAAGCACTTATTTCCTAAAAATACAGATTGTCTGTCTTTTTCAAATTAGGGGCAGTCCTAAATTCAAAACAGTCACTTCTTTTTCTATAAATTTATTTCGGACAACGTAAACTGTATTTAGAAAATGCTTTCTCCAAAAATATTTACTTTATTAATCAAAGTGGATACATTTTGTAATTAAAATTAATTAAATTATACAGGCTGGAATATAAAAAAACGCCCCAATCCATAAGTTCATTATTTTTAAAAATATGACAATACATCTTCAACAAAGTTGCACATTATTTTTTGAAATAGATCAATTAACTAGAATTGCTCATAATAAACTGTTCAACTTTAATCAAAGAAGTATTGTTATATCTTTAAAGACAATGAAGTTATGGCTTTGGGCGTTTTTTATAATCCAGTCTGTACATATAATTGCAATGAAATGAATTGCATAGAAATTATGAATTAACCTAATAACCTATAATTTTTGTAGTACCTGCAGAGGCGAAGAGAAGAACAGCTAAAAAGGGTCGAAGCATCGTATCGTGCGATGGGTTATTGTGGCGGTCACAAACTTCACAAACTCTACATTCACAAATTCACTTTCTATACAACCGAACAAAAAATAAACAATAATAATCGAAAGAATCACTTAAACATTACATGTCAGTACCGAAGGTACCTGCGGCCAGGCTAGCGTTTGCAAACGCGGGAAACGGACTGCTTTTGGCTGGCGGCGCGGCGGCGGCTCTCTCCGGGGCGGGAAAGCGGAGGCGTTCCCCTCAAAACGACGCCCACAATATCCCTGCTACTGTTACAGGAGCAGGAACAGCGGCGGCTGCAGAAGCGTCGCCCGGTCCGGGACACGAAAAATTATCAAAATTAGCTTTTTTTCCTCTTATTTATTTAACTTGTGGCGGGTTCTAAGCGAAATTATCGCACCTAGCCGATACAGCAAATCGCCCGATTTTTTCAATTCCGAGCACGGAGTGATTGCAAGAAGCATTTCTTATTTGACAAGTGGCCAGATCAATACAGTATTTTTGGCTTTGATTGATCTATCGGGCATGTTGACGCACTGGACTGTGGCTTTTCGTCATTTATTTAGTAAGACTCGTGACAAAAAGTTTATCGCGAATTTTCGAGCAAAAGTCGCTTTCACGTTCAAGACGATTAAAGAGAAAAGTGTAATAATATGACTTTCGAACTAAAAATGACATGTCAATATTTTTTAAATTTCAAACCAACACGCTTATAAATAGTAAATGGGAATATCTGCCCCATTTATCCAAAAAAAAAATACCAAGAAAATGTTCTATACATAAGGATGTTGCCTGACCGAATTAGGTTCTATATATTTTTTCTAACACCAAATTTAATAGTTATGAGTATTTACGGTATTAGACCGGTAGCAACATTTTTACAGCCGCGCCAATACTTTGGCAAGGCCATAAAAATGCTATCGGTCGTATATTGTATAAGATTTTTTAGGATACTGCAACAATCACTTTCAAATTAAACAAAAATTTATAAAAACAAAAATTTAAGTAGTGTTTACATAGTTACAAGTCTACAAGTCTCGAAGTAGGCTATTATACCGGTCTAGGCCGGTAAATTTTATCTACTGGATTCGTTGGTAACTATGTAAACGCTAGTTACCAATTCAGTATGCTAAAAAAAAAGTAAGTTCTTATTTGTTTAAAATCGTAGATTACAAAGAATGTTTTAACGTCTCTTACTAACAAAATACAAAATTAGTTTCTATAATTTATAAAAAATGAATATTAATCTTGCATTTTTGAATAGCTACCTATATCGACCTTAACAAAGTTGGTACAACATTTTGATTTGCAATTTTTTAAGAATACCTAATAATGCAATACTCGAATGATTGATGTACAGTCGTTTTAAATCACACTACATAACATTAGAACTTTGACTGACTCCCCATAGGTAGGTATATGTTTTCTAGACAAATTTAATAAATTTCTGGACTAATTAAGTAACATCTGTGTTTTTTTCAAAAATAAACGTTACTTCTGATCTGCGGCTTAAAAAAGAGGTTTGTTATACGATTATCACTAAAAATTTATTCGTTATAGTAGAAATTTTTTACAAAGAATATTATACAAACGACATTATGACAATAAAAACCATTAAGCAGAATTCTACTGTAATATGTATATAAAGTTCGTTTGCCAGAGATTTTTTTACTTTAATTGAAAATTTTGCTTTGTGTACCTTTTAATATGTATAAGATCGTCAAACGTACTCGTATGTAAATTATTGTTTAGTGAAAATTATACATAATTTAAAAGATACATATCGAGGGTAATATGGCAATATACCTCGTAAACCGCATTTTTGCAGTTTGCATTCTATAGGTACTTCAACATTAATTTGAATAATAATACCTACCTAAATGTTTAAATGATTACTATATTATTATTATTATTATTATTATTATTATTATTATTATTATTATTATGAGCTAATATCGTTTTTGCCAAATTACCAAAAACTGTCATTTTTCACTTTACCAGGTAATGTCATGTGTCGCTCGATATGAGCATCTTTTATTCTGTACAAAATCAAAATAAATAAATAAATTTTCCATAATGAAATAATATCTATTTTGCATTCAAACTACTGGTTTTATCAAAAATTAAAAACAGTAAATTTTAGTATGGATTTAGGAATAAAAGAGATCTAAAAACTATTGGTCAAGCTTCACTGTAAAAATAGTTTTGTTTATATAATGTACTAGCTGTTGCCCGCGGCTTCGCTCGCGTGGTAGTTTTACAACCACAAATATTTCAAAACCCGGAAGGGCTAAGAAACTTACTAAATAATATGTATGTTATGGCTCGGAATAAGCAAGCTCCGTCACCAATAATTGGTACAATAGTATGTGCCTCAATTACGCCGTTTATGCATAGATTTTTTTTCGACCATATGAGGAAGGATAAACCACTACACAGTATAAAAATCTGTTGTTCAGTTCAAAAATGACAATTTTTTTTAATATAAACTGTCATGCCCTGTTTGATCTTCTTGGGGGTGGAATTTTCAAAAATCTTAAAACATGCTTTCTTTATTTTTAAAATAGAAAGCCCCAATAACAATTTTTATGAATATAATATCAAAATGGACAAATTTTTATACAAATTTAATGTTTAATCCTCGTGGGGGTGGAATTTCTAAAAATATTGAAACGCATATTTCTTTACAAATACTAAATTTAATGGATATCAATTAACAATGACAAATTTTGATACAAATTTTCATCCCATGTTTAACTATTGTACATACAGGGTGCGCCAGAACTCGCGCCCCAGAGAAAAATGTCATATAAGGTAAGACATCAGAAACATGGAAAAAATGTTAAAAAAATTTTATCTATAAAAAGTTTGAAGTTATGAGGGTTTAAAGTTTGCACTTTGGCTCTATTTATTTCTGTTGGAAAAATAATTTTTCAAATTTTTTTGCTATAGGCTATTAAAAGAGGAATCAAGGAAGCTGTATCCTAAATTGTAACTCTTTTCAATGTTATTTGTGGCTTTTATTGGCAAAATTTTTGTCCCTTTACTAAATAATTGTAAAAAAACATATACAAGATCATCAGTATCATTAAATAGATATAAAAAAATGTCAAATGTCAAAAAATAAATGTCAAAATTTTTTGAGAGTTAGAATTTTTTAAACATTTTTTTCATGTTCCTGGTATCTTACCTTACTTGAAAATTTTCTCTGGGGCGCGAGTTGTGGCGCATCCTGTATTTATACAAACTTTCATTCCCTATTTGACCCCCTTAGGGATAGAATTCTCTCCAAAATCTTGAAATACGTCCTATTTTGTTTTTAACTGAACACCCAAATACCAATTTTCATAGATTTAACTTAAAAAAAAACGGATATTTTACGAAGTTTTACCCTTGTTCAACCCCCTTGAGGATGAAATTTCCAAAAATCCAGAAATACGTATTACTTGATTTTTAATCGAAAGCATAAATACAAAGGAAGGATTGAAGGATTTAACTTTATAAATGCCATATTTTAATACAAATTGTCATCCCTGTTTAACCCCCTTGAGGGTGGAGTTTACAAAAATCCTAAAACACGTATTTCTTCATTTTCAACCGATAGCCCAAATCCCAATTTTCATAAATATGACTTCAAAAAATGTTTAACTCCCTTGGGGGTGAAATTTCCAAAAATGGTAAAGTACGTTTTTTTTTTATTTTTAACCGAAAGCCTAAATACCAATTTTCATGGATATAGCTTTAAAACTTCGAATTCACCACCCCATTTAGCCCCCTTAGGGGTTGATTTTTCAAAAGTCCTTTCCTATTGGATGCCTACGTTATAAAAGGTACCTAATGTAAAAATTTGAAATTTCTGTCTCCAGCGGTTTAGGCTGTGGGTTGATAGGTCAGTCAGGACAACCCTCTTTATATACATATATACGTATATAGATTGTGTTCCCAATACCTTCGAGGGTTTACACAAATAACGATTTTTTATTCAAAAAGGCTTACAAACTCGACATTTTTTACTAAACCGGATTTTGGACATTCAATTTATTTTAAAACTTTCCAATTCAAAATCAATGAATTTCCAAAAATAAACAGAAAATTAATTTCGCCAACGTCTACACAAAACTAAATTTAAAGATGCCACAATATCAAATAGGCAAAAAAAAACACATTATTCTTATTTTTTGATAAGGTGTATGTATGTTTAAAGGCATTAAAAATGTGTTATGTGTTAAAAAATATTACTTTCAAGTGTTGCAACTTGGTCGCAGATTTTGACGAGTTTGTAACTCAATAAATGTTTTAAACAATTTGGTGAAGTAACATCTTTTATGTAAAATATTTCACCACTTTAAACTGAATCACTTAGAATTACATTGAAAAGAAAGTTTCGTATTTAGAGTAAACAATGCCAACGATTCGAGGACACAAAATTGTAAAATTTGTCACTAAAAGCACTCAGGCTACCTTTTCGTGCAAAACAACATACATGTTTTTAATGTGTAAGTAGTCTCTTTGATGTTGACATGGGTCTTCTACACTGTTCCTTTATGTTTAAAACAGTAATCTCATAAGAGAACACATCAAAGTAAATTATGTCGAAGAAAATTTCGTGTTGTAATATTAAATCTAGAAAGTTGTCCACAAAGATACCGTCATCAAGATCTAAGAAACCACGCGGATTATTTTACTTCTCACTCGCATAGTGCAATAATTTCCCATTGTTGGTTAGAGAGCTTGTGAATATGGTAACGAAACCGATAAAACACAATAAAATCTCCGACAGTCTTGAGACAGGAAATTAAAATCGAAATCTCTTTTTTCAAGTCGCTCATAATTAAAACGCAGGGGCTCTAAAAAGGCTCCTCTTTTTTAATTTAACGTCAGGTGATAAAAGTAGCTCCTTGAAAACTGACCCACTAACATTCTAACCGTTCAATGATCTTGTCTCAACTGCAGCATTTTTCCATCGATGCACTCTAGGACATATGATCCAAACCAACGGAGTTTTTATTTTTGCTCTTAAACGGACGTTGTGCAGTTCTTTAACCTCTTTTTCAACCACACCTTTCATTCTTAGATAACGTGTAGTTGTTTCACGAAATGTCCTATTTCGTAACGGTAATCGCTCAAAATTGGTGCTGAAAGTGTTAATTATTGCATAGTGATAATAAGCATCAAG